CGAATGAATTATGACTAGAATATATATGCTCGGCCATACAATCGTCTCTTCCACGTGCAATGTCACATATGAATTCTTTTATAACTGTGACTGTCATGATATAGTTGAATGCTTCTTTATCATCCATATTTTATGCTAGTGCCTGTCTTGAATCTTTTTATATTTATTATTCTCAATGCCGTTCTTTTTCTCAGTGTTCCTATGTACCTGGTGATCAACGTGTTTTATGGTGCTGAAGTTTCAAGAGAATTGACTCCTCTCTGGGTTTTTGGGCCCTTCATTACTGCTTTCTACGTTAAGATGTTTCTCTGGTTGAGTTCCCTCTATATCTTCAGCTTTAAGTTGACTGCTAAACTAGTAAGGAACTCCCCCACTTACTACCAGACAGTGCATCACTATGTGATACAAGGGAAACTTAAAGAAGAGTTCGTAGCTCGTTTCTTGCAACCGATAGTCAACATTAAGAATCTAAAGAACAAAGAACTATTGCTAAGAAAGCTCATGGAGTTAAGAGAGTGGATTGTCGATAAGTACCTTGATTTTGTGGAATTAATTTGGCCATACTACTGCCGAACAATCAGGTTTTTAAAGAGAGCTAATCTGATTTAGACTATGGTTTGTATTTTGAAGCAAATCTCTTACCAAAATCGAAGGCTGGATGGATCCTGTTTCTTTCTCACATTATCTAAGAAGCTTGATTTGCCATTAAAGCATGTCTGGCCTTCCACTTTTTGTGGGAGTATATTAGTGTTTAATGAGCTAAGCAAGGATCAGAATGACTTGAGTTGTCTGATTTTGTGACTGTTGTGATGAGGATGTAATTCTTTTTCCCTTGTTCTTTTAATTGGAAGAGGTCCCATTTAGTTGCGTTTTTCCTGTTATAGTGATGTATGTGTAAGCATTGTCAACTTGAATTTTATCAATTAGTCTTTCCATATTATATTGTTTCGTTATTCATTTGGATGAACTGAAACTCTCTCACGCAGGGGTCAAGGACATGCCAACAGAACAAGGTCAAAGGTGATTGATTTTAAAGCATATATGATCAGCTTAGTGGTTGCTATATGCTTTTGACTTTGAGAACTTCTAATCCATTATGCAGATTTTGATTAGTTTAATCCTTGGAACTTGTATAGTTATGGTCAAATGCAAAAATTTTAGTATATTTAGCTTCAATGATGCACCTTCTTTGGCGTTTGCTCCTTATCCATGTAACGACACGTTTTAGGTAAAGGAACTCGGTTTTCTTCCCGACTTTTAAAGTTTAAAACTTTATATGTTGAAAAAAATGCAATCCAATTTTTTAAACCGAACTAGAAAATTATTCAAAACTAACCAATAATTGGCCTGAATTTTGTTAATAGAGAAGTAATAGAAAAGAATCTAACCTAGCACTAGAGTCCTAAACCTAATCAAACCAACTACTCACATAGCCTCCTAAAATAAGGTCCACAAATATCATTTCTTAAAAGAGGAAGAAAAACTCAATTTATTAAAAAAACGCTTTAGCTACAAATATCTTATAATGAGTTCACTGAAAAGCTGTTGATGAAAATTTTTAAGTTAAAGTCAGCTCATTTTTCTTCTCTGTTCTACTTTTGAAATCTTATCGACTTTAGAAGTGTTATTGCCTAACGACGCTCCATCCATTTGAAGGAATTGGATAAAGCAAGTAGTAATCCACTTAAAGAAAGAATAGTACATTAATCCGTGACAATCATGTTTTTTAAGAACATAACTTTGTCTTTTCTTCTACGTAAGTGATCGTGCCATTATAAAGCTTTTGAATACGAGGAAATAGTCAATGGAAAAAAGAAAAAAAGAAATATACGCACAATCACTTACTTATACAAATTGAAATGCAATCCCAATACAAATGGCTACTAAGGTATGAGCATATCTTAAAAGGATCAAGATCTTGTAGTTTGGAAGTTGTAGCTATCTAATGAGTTGATGGGGGTAGCACTAGAGGATGAGTTTGATACCAAATAAAAAGAAAAAGGTACACAAATGGTCCAAGTGACCAAAAACTTGTGTTTCCTTGTCTGTGATTCCTTACGTGACTTGTAAACACTTAACTCATTTTATAGTGATGGCTCAACAAATACACTTGTGGATGGTCCATCAAAGTGGATAATCTCCATTATGGAGGGGAGGGTCTTGTCCTTTTCCAATTGGCTTCATTTCACAAGGAATAATTGTTCTCTCTCTCTCTCTCTCTCTCTCTCTCGAAGATGGTGAGCCATCAAATGGGCTGGTTTTATATTGGTTAGTCTCACCAAACCTCACATGGTTTCCTTGGCTCTGTGTTGTGGGTTTGAACAGGTAGGAGTATGGAAGCTGGCCTTTACCGTAAAAACAACAGTAGTGGTTTGGGTTCTGGTTTTTTCTACTTGTATTTTATAAGGGTGTAAGGTAGTTTTGGTTGACAAGAAGAAAAAACTATTGGTATTTGGACTTTAAGAACAGGATACACTAACCAAATGAATAAATTAAGAGTGGTATTCTTTTAGGCGATTCACGGGACATTTCTTATAAGGGTCTGGAAACTTCTCTCTAACAGACACGTTTTAAAACTGTGAGGCTGACAACGATACGTAATGGACAAAAAAGGATAATATTTGCTAGTGGTGGACTTGGGCTATTACAAATGGTATCAGAGCTAGACACCGGACGGTGTGCCAGCGAGGATGTTGGGCCCTCAAGGGGGTGGATTATGAGATCTCACATTGGTTGGAGAGAGGAACGAAACTTTTCTTATAAGGGTGTGGAAATCTCCCTCTATCATATGCATTTTAAATCGTGAGGCTGACGACGATACGTAACGGGGAAAAAGCGGATAGTATCTACTAGCGATGAACTTAGGTTGTTACAAATGGTATCAGAGCCAGACACTGAGCTGTTTGCCAGCGAGGACGCTGGGCCGTCAAGGGGGGTGGATTATGATATCCCACATCGGTTGAAGAGGGGAATTAAGAGTGTGATAACATCTCCCTATCAGATGTTTTAAAACCATGTGGCTGACGACGAAATGTAACGGAAAAAAGTGGACAATATCTACTAACGGTGGACTTGAGCTGTTACAAATGGTATCAGAGCCAGACACCGGGCGGTGTGCTAGTGAGGACATTGGGCCCCCAAGGGGGGTGGATTATGATATTCCACATCGGTTGGAGAGGGGAACTAAGAGTGTGATAACATCTCCCTATCAGATGTTTTAAAACCATAAGGCTAACGACGATACGTAACGGGCAAAAGCAGACAATATCTGCTAGCGGTGGACTTGAGTTGTTACAAATGCTATTAAAGTCAGACACCGGGCGGTGTGCCAGTGAGGACGCTGGGCTTCAAGAGGGTGGATTATGAGATCCTACATCAGTTAAAGAGGGGAACGAAACATTCCTTATAAGGGTGTGGAAACATCTCCCTATCAGACACGTTTTAAAACCGTGAGGCTGACGACGATACGTAACGGACAAAAGCGGACGATATCTGCTAGCGGTGAACTTGGGTTGTTATATAATCCAAACAATGTCTCAACCACCATCACCATATCGTTTCGTGTTACCTCTATGACTTCCATCCAATATTCTAATAAATTTAGACTTTCAAGATAGTTTTGAAAAAAGAACAAATTTTGAAATAAAACAAAGTTATGGAGTATTTTCTATGATATAGACTAAAATGAACAATAAAATAGTATTGATGAGTAAGCAAAGAGTGACATGTGAGCTAAAATCTTACTATTGTGACCATTCCTTTTGAAAGGATAAAAGAACAGCCTAAAAGGTCCTAAAGGCAAGCCCACGCCTGAGTTACAGACATACACATCAAGCACAAGTGGGACTGCCCTCTTACATTTAGCTATCATCATATCTTATCTCCATAGAGCTTCCCATCCAAGAAGCGGCTTTGTTTTTTGGAACCAATTTCAAACAAAACAAGACCAAGAGTAAGAACTGACAAAGTTTGAGAAGAACTAGGAAAGGTGATGAAAAAGGGAATTAGCTACAAAGAAAGGTGGTGGTTTAAAGTGGATTTACTTTTTGAGATGGGAAAAGAAGAATCATACAGTCTGAGCTGATTAGATTCTATTTACTTGTTAATCAGTGGTTTAGGTTCTAAGTTTATAGCCAAATCAAGTTGTGAATGAGTTTTATTTGAACTTGTTTAGGTACGTGAGATCCCGCGTCGGTTGGGGAGGAGAATGAAACACCCTTTATAAGGGTGTGGAAATCTCTTCCTAGGAGACGTGTTTTAAAAATCTTGAGGGGAAGCCCCAAAGGGAAAGCCAAAATAGGACAATATCTGCTAGCGATGGGCTTGAGCCGTTACAAATGGTATCAGAGCTAGACACTAGGTGATGTGTCAGTGAGGAGGCTGAGCCCCGAAGGGGGGTGGATACGAGGTGGTGTGCCAGCAAGGACATTGGACCACGAAGGGGGGTGGATTTGGGGGGTCCCACATCGATTGGAGAAGGGAACGAGTGCTATCGAGAACGTTGGACCCCAAAAGGGGTCCCACCACGCCCTTTACAAGGGTGTGGAAACCTCTCCCTAGTAGATGCGTTTTAAAGACCTTGAGCGGAAGCTCGAAAGGGAAAGTCCAATGAAGACAATATCTGCTAGCGGTGGGCTTGGACTGTTACAAATGGTATCAGAACCAGACACCAGGCGATGTGCCAGCAAGGAGGTTAAACCTCGAAGGGGGGTGGACATGAGGCGGTGTGCCAGCAAGGACGCTGGATCCCGAAGGGGGTAGATTTAGGGGATCCCACATCGATTGGGGAAGGGAACGAGTGCCAGCGAGGACGTTAGACTCCGAAGGGGATGGATTGTGAGATCTCACATCGGTTGGAGAGGAGAACAAAACACCCTTTATAAGGGTGTGGAAACCTCTCCCTAACATACACGTTTTAAAAACTATGAGGGGAACTCCAAAAGGAAAAATCCAAAGAGGACAGTACGTGCTAGCGGCCCACCGGTTGGAGAGGAGATTAGTTATGCTATAAAAAGCCTGATCTGAGCTCAGGAGAGATTTCCTGGTTATTTACGCTGCATCACTGCAACTCCTAATGATCTCATAAGATCTAAAAGCCAACACATCATCATCCCTTTCATTTTTCTTGCCTTGTTCTTGAATGCTGGTTGCTTCATATCTTTTATATGATCATTCCAGCTGAACCATGGCTAACGGTTACATGCCCAATCTCCATCTCCTTCTCCTTCTCCTTTTCTCCGTTCTTGGCGTTTACCTCGACGTGGCTCGGGGACAGGTTTTGACACCATCTAACTGGCTTCTGAAAATGAAATCAGAACAGGTTGATCCTGTTGGAATCCTTGATAACTGGTCTCCAAGTACTCATGTATGTACCTGGCATGGCATTTCTTGTTCACATGATATGTCCCATATTGTTAGCTTAAACCTTTCTGGCTCTGGATTATCAGGTTCTATGTGGAGTGAGTTATGGCATATCACTTCACTTGAAGTCTTAGATTTGTCTTCAAATTCTCTCTCTGGTTCCATACCCTCTGAGTTTGGACAGCTTTTCAATCTAAGGATGCTGTTCTTGCATTCAAATAACCTGTCTGGCAAGCTTCCAGCTGAAATAGGCCTTTTGAAGAACTTGCAAGCTCTCAAAATAGGCAACAACATGCTATCAGGTGATATCACACCATTTATAGGAAACTTGACTAATTTGAGTGTTCTTGGTCTTGGCTACTGTGAATTCAATGGAAGTATTCCATTTGAGATAGGAACCTTGAAGCATCTGATATCACTTGATTTGCAGCAGAACAAGCTCAGTGGTTCTATTCCCGACAGCATTTTCGGAATCGAAGAGCTCGAAAACTTGGTCGTATCGAATAACCTGCTTGATGGCAACATTCCTAGCTCACTAGCCTCATTAAGATCATTGAAAGTCTTGAATTTGGCTAACAACAGCTTTTCTGGATCAATTCCTGTTGCATTAAGTGATCTTACCAATTTGGTGTACTTGAACTTGCTTGGAAATAGATTCAATGGAGAAATCCCTTCTGAGATAAACAAATTGGTTCTTCTTGAAAATGTAGATTTGTCAAGAAACAACCTTTCTGGAGCTGTAAGTCTACTGAATTCTCAGCTGAAGAATCTTAAAACTCTTGTCTTGTCGGATAATGCTTTAACAGGTAACATTCCCGACAGTTTCTGCTTTGAAAATTCAAATCTTCAACAGATATTTCTTGCCAGGAACAAGCTTTCCGGCAGGTTCCCAATCGAGCTGCTGAACTGTTCTTCACTACAGCAGCTGGATCTTTCTGGTAACGGATTCGAAGGCGATCTCCCGTCGACTCTCGACGATCTTAACTACTTAACCGACCTTTTACTCAACAGCAACAGCTTCACTGGATCCATCCCCCCTCAAATTGGAAACATGAGCTCGTTGGAGGAGGTGTATCTGTTTGACAACAAGCTCACAGGAGCCATTCCAAAGGAGATAGGGAAGCTACAGAAGTTGAGTATCATTTTCCTCTATGATAACCAAATGTCGGGTAGCATACCGAACGAGCTTACGAACTGCACGAGCTTGACAGAGATCGACTTCTATGGCAATCATTTTATAGGCCCCATTCCTAAGGATATTGGCAGCTTAAAAAACCTGGCTGTGCTTCATTTAAGGCAGAATTTCTTGTGGGGTCCTGTCCCAGAAAGTTTGGGGTACTGCAAAAGCCTCAAGTTATTGGCTTTGGCTGATAACAATCTCTCAGGGTCATTACCCTCCAGTTTAGGACAACTCTCAGAATTAAGCACCATTACCCTTTATAACAACTCCCTTGAAGGCCCTCTTCCTTTGTCATTCTCCATTCTTAAGAGCCTAAAGATAATCAACTTCTCCAATAATAAGTTCAATGGAACCATCTTTCCTCTCACTGGCTTGGTTTCTTTAACAGCATTGGATTTGACAAACAACAGCTTTTCAGGTCCTATCCCTTCCAGATTGTCTAGAAACTTGAGACGTCTTCGCCTCGCTCACAACGAGCTCACCGGTTATGTTCCGTCCGAGCTCGGCGAACTGACAGAGCTAAACTTCCTGGATTTGTCACACAACAATCTCACAGGAGAATTGTCAGCTCAGCTCTTTAACTGTAGCAAGCTTCAGCACTTTTTGGTTAACGACAACAAACTGACAGGAACCATCACTCCATTGATAGGGAACTTACAAGAACTTGGCGAGCTGGATTTGTCATCCAATAACTTATATGGGGAAATACCTGCAGAATTGGTAACCTGTCACAGATTACTTAAGCTATCTCTCCATAACAACAATTTATCAGGAAAAATCCCACAGGACATTGGAAATCTCACGTTTCTATATGTTCTTAACCTTCAAAGAAACAATCTTTCAGGTCCTATTCCATCAACAATCCAAAAATGCAGCAAACTTTATGAGCTGAGACTCTCTGAAAACCTCTTGACATCTGATATCCCTCAAGAACTTGGAGCGCTGCATGAACTTCAAGTGATACTAGATTTAAGCAAAAATGGCTTATCTGGTGAAATCCCATCATCCATTGGAGATTTAATGAAGCTTGAGAGATTGGATCTTTCTTCAAATCATCTCAGAGGGGAAATTCCTAGCTCACTTGAAAAACTAACAAGTATGCATATCTTGAACCTGTCATATAATCATCTACAAGGTTCAATCCCTCAATGTTTTTCAGGTTTTCCATTGAGTTCCTTCAAGGATAATAATGAACTCTGTGGCTCACCTCTGTTATCATGTTCATCAAGGCAAGAAACAAGCAAGCTATCCAAGGCTGCAGAGATTGGTATTATTGTGGCTATTGTTCTTACATCCATGGTTATATGTCTAATAATGATGTATATTATGCTGAGAATGTGGAGTAACTGGAGAAATGTTTCGGTTTCGATATCGGATGGCGGTGGGAACGAACACGACAGAGATGAAGTGAGATGGGTTCATGGAAATGACAAGAAGGTAGGACAGTATTGGAAGGTTGATTCTGTGGCGTTGGTTCGTTCTAAGGCTAGTAGGTGTGTTTTTCAACTCAAGGAAGATTCAGAGTGAATGTGGCTTGTAGAGCTCTCATGAAACATCAAGGCTTCATGAGGTTATTTGTTGCTGATGATTTTTTTTTTTAACTGTGTTACTGATGAAGTTTGGTGTCTTGAGGATTGTAAAAATAAACTGGAGATCTCTGTAGATAATTGCCTAGTGTATGATTAGTGTTGAGAATTGATATCTGTTCAAAAAGTGTCCAGGTTGTATCTGAAATTTCAATATCTATTGTGCTAACTCATGGCTTCCATCGCTATTTGTAACGGTCCAAGCTTACCGTTAACTGATATTGTCTGTTTTAGTCCTATGTTTTGTTGTTAGCCTCACGGTTTTGAAATGCGCGTTTTAGGGAGAGGTTTCCATACCCTTCGTAAGGAATGGTTCGTTCTCTTCTCCAACTGATGTGGGATCTCACAATCCACCCCTCTTGGGGTCTAGTGTCCTCGCTGGTACACCGTTTGGTGTCTAACAGTCCAAATCTACTGTTAACAGGTATTGTCTACTTTGGTCTGTTATGATCGGTTGGGGAGGGGAACGAAGCATTCCTTATAAGGGCGTGGAAACTTCTCCCTGGTAGACGCGTTTTAAAATCATGAGGCTGATGGCGATATGTAATGGGCCAAAGTGGACAATATCTGTTAACAGTGGGCTTGGGCTGTAACAAATGGTATCAGAGTTAGACACCGGCCAGTGTGCCGATGAAGATGCTGGGTCTTCGAGGGAGGTGGGTTGTGAGATCCCACATTGGTTGGAGAGTGAAACGAAACATTCCTTATAAGGATGTGGAAACCTCTCCTTAGCAGACACGTTTTAAAACTGTGAAGCTGATGACGTTACGTAACGGACCAAAATGAACGATATCTGTCTATGCGTATGCGTATGCGTATGCGTATGCGTATGGAAGTTACACAAAACAGAATTAGAGAAAGTGTTGACAAGTGCAATTCAACCCCATTGATATCTTCATGTAGCCTAAACAAGCACCAAACAAGGCAAGAAGGCAACAGAGAAGCCATTGAAAACAAGCCCATTATGACAAATCCACAGCAAAACCAATGCACTGAGGCAATGAAGATAAACAATGAAAGAACTAAGTTTGATTTTCCTTTTCCTTTTTCCCAATTTAGGCATGGCTCAAAACCAGACATCTTTATCGTATAACATACGCAAACCCACCTCGTACGGTGCAACAACCTGCACCACAATCAACAATGTCATGAATTTTCTTTCATGACCAGACATTCTGACATTTTATAGTACAAACCACAGTTTCTCCCATTCATGACATTCATGTTTCTGATTCTATTGCCCTCGTTCAACTGGTTTCTTCTTCATCCAAACCCCCTTTATTTGGTTCAACAGCTAACACCATCATCAAATTCCTGATAATCTTCGATTATCCTTTATTCTTTCAAAGTGTCGTAACAGCTGACTTTGGCCCGTTACATTCCTTATAAAGGTGTGGAAACCTTTCCCTAGCAGATACGTTTTAAAAATCTTAAGGGGAAGCTTGAAAGAGAAAGCCCAAAAAAGACAATATCTGCTAGTGGTGAGTTTAGGCCATCACAAATAGTATCAGAACCAGATACTGGGCGATGTGCCAGCGAAAACGCTGGGTCCCCAAAGGAAGTGAATTGTGACATCCCACGTTGGTGAGAGAGGGAAACAAAACATTTCTTATAAGGGTGTGGAAACCTCTCCATAGTCTGCTAGCGATGGGTTTGAGCCGTTACAAATGATATCAGAGCCAGACACCGAGCGATGTACCAACGAGAACGCTGGTCCCCAAGGAGGGTGGATTGTGATATCCCGCATTGGTTGGAGAGGGGAACAAAACATTTCTTACAAGAGTGTAGAAACCTCTCCATAGTTTGCTAGCGGTGGATTTGAGCCATTACAAATTGTATCAAAGCAGACACCAAGCGGTATACCAGCGAGAACGTTGGCCCCCAAAGAAAGTGGATTGTGACATCCCACAATAGTTGGAGAGAGAAACAAAGCATTCCTTATAAGTGTGTGGAAACCTCTCCCTAGTAGACGCGTTTTAAAACCACGAGATTGACAGTGATACATAACGGGTCAAAGCGGACAATATCTACTAGCAGTGGCTTTTACCGTCAGATTCCTTGCAAATTAACTACTTTCTTTTCAGAAAAAGGTTAGATTTTTTTCAACATACCTCCCAAAATTCTCATACCCACATCTTGTCTACTCCTCTAATGTCAACATTCTTATCTTTTTTGTCCCTTTCTATCAGCCTGATGTCAACAATAGACACATGAGGCTGTGCTTCCATCTTCTAAGCCTATCTATCCATCCACAGCCCAGCCAAACTGATACACTGAAGAGATAATGAATCAGAGGCCGTGCTTCGAGACAGTAGTAGAAGATAATAAAACACAGGCTGCCCTTCAGTTTCAAATGCAGGCCATTGCAAATTGCCAGCCAAACTGTAAGTTCATCAAGACGACAAGGGTTTTCCTGTACCTGAAAAATGGGCCCAAAACAAACGACACAACTTGAATCTCTCTCTCTCTGCTTATTAAATGCTTGTGTTTCCTATTTAGCTATTAATGGCGATGTCATGTCGCTGCTAGCAGTTCTAAATGGGTCAGAGACCGCAAATTTGCCGTTTGTTTCAAAAGGGGTCTGGCAATAAATGAAGGGGAACCTAGAAAGATCTCCAACGATCCTTTCAAAATTCAAACGAATGTGTTATGAGAAGCGGGAGTACAACACTTCCATATTAGTTTAGAACTTGAAACTAGCCTAGAACTTTGAAATAAAGTCCATAATGTTGTTAGTAGATATTGTTCACTTTGGCCCGTTACGTATCGTCATTAGCCTCATGGTTTTAAAATGTGTCTATTGAGGAGAGGTTTCTACACCCATATGAGGAATGTTTTGTTCCCGTCTCCAACCGATGTGGGATCTCACAATCCACCCCTCTTGAGGGCCAGCGTCCTCGTTAGCACACCGCATGGTGTCTGGCTCTGATACCATTTGTAATAGCTCAAACCCACTACGTATCGCCATCAGCCTCAAGGTTTTCGAACGTGTCTACTAGGGAGAGGTTTCCACACCCTTATAAGAAATAATTCGTTCCCTTCTCCAATCGACGTGGGACCTCACAGATGTCTTGGTCTAGCAATAGCCTACATAGTTAGATATGTACTTGTTCTTTTGATCATTTAACTATTAACTAGTCTTGTTTTGTTGGATTTCTTTTTTTGGCTCTTTCCACGGTCAAAAGATTGGCAAGTATATTGATTAATAATGAAAAGAACTCTCTTTTTTTTAATGTTTGAACTGTTTTATAATCTTTTATAGCTTCGAATTACTTGAGCTCCTGCACGACCATTTAGGCTGCTTCTTTCACTGTCTTGGTTTCTGTCTTGGTTTCTGTCCATTTTTCATTAAAAAGCTGTCTTTCTCTCAATTAGTCTGTGAGAATGCTTATCTTGTAGGCTGCATGCAGTTCTCTGAAAGCTCAATCTCTTTAGTCATAACTCCAAATGTCATCCTTGATTCATGGCATCACGTCTCAGACAGTAAACATCGTACTTTTCTGAAATGGGTCAGCTCAAAGTTCCAGTTTTGTTCTGTATTTGTTGGGTTTTTTCTCTTTTGTGCTTTGGAGCTCGCTGCCATGGTTCTGAGGTCACTGTGAAGTTCTTGGAGGCTCCTAATCCTTTCTCTCGCATAAAGTCAGCCACATTTGTGTTTGAAATTTTAGTGAACGGCCACGGTGATAAGTGCAAGTACTGCGACATCAGTTGTTCGGTACCTTCAACTCTATCAGTTCATTGAACTGACTTGTTTGCTTGTTTGCTTGGTTGCTCTCTCTCTCTGTGTCTTTCTTTTCTTCTTGTGCTATATAATTCTCCACTTTAGTTGGCTGATTCGGTAAGATCATGGATGTTTAAGCCTCTTTGTCTGTTGATTTCTTTACTTTTGATGGCTTCTTGAATGAAATTATTGAAGACCGTAGCTGCTTGAGAATAAGATTGGAACTTTATGTGAGATTTCACGTCGGTTGGAGAGGGGAACAAAGCGTTCTTTATAACGGTGTGGAAATCTCTCCCTAGTAGACGCGTTTTAAAAATTTTGAGAGAAAACCCAGAAGGAAAAGCCCAAAGAGGACAGTATCTGTAGCTCACTGATGGTATCAGAGCATTGTGAGATCCCTAATCGATTGGAGAGGGGAACGAAACATTATTTATAAGGGTGTGGAAACCTTTCCCTAGTAGACGTGTTTTAAAAACCTTGAGGGGAAGCCAGAGAGGAAAATCCCAAAAAGGACAATATTTGTTAGTGGTGGGCTTGGGCTATTATAAATGATATCAGAGTATTGTGAGATCCCATATCGGTTGGAGAGGGGAATGAAGCATTCCTTATAAGGGTATGGAAACCTCTCCCTAGTAGACGCGTTTTAAAAACCTTGAGGGAAGCCTGAAAGGGAAAGCCCAAAGAGGACAATATCTGTTAGTGGTGGGTTGGGCTATTACAAATGATATCAGAGCATTGTGAGATCCCACATCGGTTGTTGAGGGGAACGAAACATTCCTTATAAGGGTGTGGAAACTTCTCCCTAGGGGATGCATTTTAGAAACCTTGAGGGAAAACCCGAAAGGGAAATTCCAAAGAGGACAATATCTATTAGTGGTGGGCTTGGGCTGTTACAAATGATATCAGAGCATTGTGAGATCCACACTAGTTGGAGAGGGGAACAAAACATTCCTTATAACGGTGTTGAAACCTCTCCCTAGTAGACGTGTTTTAAAAATCTTGAGGGGAAGCCCGAAAGGGAAAGTCCAAGGAGGACAATATCTGCTAGTAGTGGGCTTGGGCCATTACGAATGGTATCAGAGCATTGTGAGATCCTACATTGGTGGGAGAATTCCTTATAAGGGTGTGAATACCTTTCTCTAGTAGACGCGAAAACCTTGAGGGGAAGCTCAAAAAGGAAAGTCCAAAGAGGACAATATCTGCTAGCGGTGGGCTTGAGCTATTACAAATGGTATCAGAGCATTGTGAGATCTCACCTCAGTTGAAGAAGGGAACGAAGTATTCCTTATAAGGGTATGGAAACTTCACTCTAGTAGACGCATTTTAAAACCGTGAAGCTAGCGGCAATACGTAAACGGGCTTGGGCCATTACACTTTCAGAATTTGACTCCCATTTGCTGAGAATTAGCTACTACATTACTTAGAACATCAAGACAGAACATTCTTGTCTAGATTTAATGTGTCTCCTCATGTTTATCTTCACTTCCCAGTGTAGTTTTGTAACTGATAATTAACTCAAGTGTATCTCTACTCTCCTGCAGCTTGATAACAGCCACCCTTTAGGCTGTAATGAAGGAAACATTTTCTACTCTGAATTGAAGGATGGAGTGCACAAATTCAAGGTCTGCACTAACTTTTCCAAGGGAGTTAGCTGTTCTAGCTACAACTGGACTGTTGGTAAGAACTATAAGAACCTTCATTGTTGTTCTTAGTCAATACAGTATTTGGATCATCAGCTTCATAGCTTCACATAAGATCATTGAAATTGATCAAAATCTCTCTTGATTTTGTATATTACATGAACTGAAAGAAAAACTGTTAGTTTTCCCCTAAGAACTTTGCTAATTTCTTTAGTATCCATTATTTTGCAGATACTGTTCCCCCCACAGCCTCTATTATGGCCTCGACGATGTTCACGAACGCGTTAAATGTTTCTGTAAATATTTCTTTCTCCGAACCTTGTAGTAGGGGTGGAGGTTTTGGATGTTCATCTGTCGAAGCCTGCAACGTGAGTAGGTGGCTGCTTACATTTTTGTGACGCTTAATAATATTGTTGAGAAGTTTCTTCGTAACCGTCCAAACTGAGTTGATATTATCCTCTTTGAGCTTTCTCTTTCGGGCTTTTTAAAACGCGTTTTCTAGGAAGAAATTTCCACACCCTTATAAAAAATGTTTTGTTCTTCTCCCCAGCCGATGTGAGATCTCACAATCCACTCCCCCAGCATCCTCGATGACACTCGTTCCCCTCTCTAATCAATATGGAACCCCCAGCGTCCTCACTGGCACACCGCTTGGTGTCCGCCCCCCTTTGGGGTTCAGGCTCCTCGTTGGCACGTCGCTCAATGTCTGGTTCTGATACCATTAGTAACAGCCCAAGCCCACCAATAGCAAATATTGTCTTCTTTGACTTTTCCCTTTCAGGCTTTTTAGAATGCGTCTACTAGGGAGAGGTTTCCACACCCTTATAAAAAATGCTTCGTTCTCCTCCCCAACCGATGTGGGATCTCACAATCCACTCGCCTTCAGAGCTCAGTGTTCTCACTGGCACTCTTTCCCCTCTCTAACCAATGTAGGGCCTCCCAATCCACCCCTCTTCAGGGCCCAGTGTCCTCACGGCACATTACCTGGTATCCACCCTCCTTCGGGGTTCAACCTCCTTGCTAACACATCGTCCAATGTCTGGCTCTGATACCATTTGTAACAGTCAAAGTCCACCACTAGCAGATAATGTCCTCTTTGAGCAGCCCTTTCAGACTTTTTAAAATGCGTCTACGGGAGAAGTTTCCACACTCTTACAAAAAATGCTTCGTTCTCCTCCCCAACCGATGTTGGATCTCACATTCTTCGTCTTGATTCTCTTCTATACGTCCACAAACCAGTTCCACGAATCATACAAAACTACAGAATATTGAAGCAAAGATATCTAAAAGTAAAAATGTTCTATGCATATTGTCTAGTTTCTAGCAGGAAATATTCATATTAGCAGGAAAAAAGAACCAAAATCTGATACAAAACATTGTTTATTGCAGCTACTTGTGTATGGTGAAGGACATGTTATACCATCATCTTTCAAAGTTCTTCAGCCCAACCTCAAATACTCACTCTCTGTGTCCTTGCTATCAACCACTCAATATGGAAGAGTTATATTAGCAATGGATAAGAACTTCTGTACTGATAGAGCAGGAAATCTATTCGCAAGAACAGAAAATTCAATATCTTATGTGCACTTTGGTAAGCTTATTGACATCATTATTTCCCATTTTTGAACTCTGTTGGCTATTGTAACACGAAATTTTGAACTTGACAGACAGAAGAAAACTACTCGCCAACCTGAAAACACGTGTTCCCGAAAGGCTACTCGAGCTCAACAATGACACTAGACTGGTACAAGCAACAAACAAACATGATAACTTAAAGGTGTATCTGTACTTTTCAGAACCAGTTCTTAATTCATCTATGGAAGTTTTGAATTCTCTTGAAGTAAGCGAAGGCACGCTTCTTCCGATGAGCGGAAGGAGTCTCGGGAATCGAAGATTCAGCTTCATGGTCAGTGGTTTTGTTCATTGTAAATGTTCATCTGTGTATGTTTGATCTGATATGCAATCCCTTTTCCAGGTTTCAAATGTTTCTGAAATTGCTATAATCACTGTGAGCCTCAAGCCCAGCTCTGTAGTGAGCAGACAAGGAAATCCTGTTGCACCACTTCCTCCAGTTACTTTCCTTTATGGTAAACTATGCTTTTAGCTAAGGCAGTTATTAGCAGAACTTTTTACTTCACGGTAAACAAGCAGATGTTGTCAACTTTGACCCGTTACGTATAGTCGTCAGCCTCACAATTTTAAAACGCGAGGTTTCCACACCCTTATAAGAAATACTTCGTTCCTCCCTCCAACTGATGTGGGTTCTCACAATCCACCCCCCTTGGGGTCTAGCGTCCCCGCTTGCACACCGCCCAGTGCCTAGCTCTAATATCATTTGTAGCAGCTCAAGCCCACCGCTAGCAGATATAACCGCTTTGGCCCATTACGTATAGCTGTTAGCCTCACGATTGGAGAGAGGAACGAAGCACTCCTTACAAGGGTGTGGAGATCTTTGTTAGGAATCACGACTCTCCACAATGGTATGATATTGTCTACTTTGAGCATAAGCTCTCATGGCTTTGCTTTGGGCTTCCCCAAAAGGCCTCGTACCAATAGAGTCCTTACTTATATACCCAAATCATTCCCTAAATTAGTCAATGTGGGACTCTCTCCCAACAATCTTCAACAATCTCTCCCTCGCAGACGCGTTTTAAAACCTTGAGGGGAAGCCCTTGAAGGGAAAGCCCAAAGAGGACAATATCTGCTAGCGGTGGGCTTGGGCTGTTAAAAACAATATCAGAGCTAGACACCGGGCGGTGTGCCAGCGAGGACGCTAGCCCCCAAGGGGGTGGATTGTGAGATCCCACGTCGGTTGGAGAGGGAAACGAAACATTCCTTATAAGGGTGTGAAAACCTCTCCTAGACACGTTTTAAAACCATGAGGGGAAGCCCTTGTAGGAAAAACTCAAAGATGACAATATCTGCTAGCGCTGAGCTAATACAAACAAACTGTGAATTTCAGATTCTCTTAGACCAACTGTGATGCTCAATACAACTACTCCTATGAGGACGAAAGAAAAAATATTTTTGGTCACTGTGAACTTCATGAAGCCCGTATTTGATTTCAACTCGTCCTGTGTATCGATTCGTGGTGGTCGTTTGCAGAGGCAAGTTAGTGTATATTAAGTTCTTCATGAAACCATATTGTCCTTGCTTCCATTTTTCCTTACATACTCGTTCTACGTCCAGCTTTAGCAAGACGGGCAGGAGTGTCTACTCCGTTGAAGTACAAGCCGAGGATGAAGTTGTATTTGTCAGCGTCCCCGAAAACGTAACGGCCGATGTTGCTGGAAATCATAATGTAGCATCAAATATTCTACAAGTGTGGCACTGTAAGCATTCACTGATATATCTCTTTTCCTAACATTCATATACATATCAATTCTTACCTATAAGATGTGTTGTAAACAAAACATGCAGATTCTCTCCCGACGATATCTCGGGTCGTTTCGATCTTTGTAATCGCTTCGTTTGCAGCAACATCCTTCACAGCAGGACTACTCACTCTATCAACAGCTAGCCTTCAGTCCGAAGGAGTACTCGTGAGATCATCGTCCTATTTGACGTACAATCCTACAAGAAATATTTTTGTAAGTTATCTTACTTTACCACTTTGAATACCATGCTCTTGAGTTACAAACATGAACATGCTTATACATATCGAAAATCGACCGCTCTAAGCAGCCTCTCTTACGTGCAGAGAATTGCTTGTCACGTTCAAATTTTCGCACTAGCTATATGGCTGCCAGTTACATTGCCTGTTGAGTACTATGAATTTGCTAATGGTTTGCAATGGAGTATTCCTTATCTAAAAGTTCCGTGGGAAGATGAACACGAGCGTCCCGACTTAAGTGGCTATAGCCCGGTTACTGGATCGCATCCTTATCTAGCCAAAACTTCTGATTCAAAAGTCCTTCAAAACAAGGTTCCAGGCAATAACTTTACTATGGCTGATCAGTTATATGGATTGCCCCTTACTCCAATGGAATACAGATCGTTTTTCGAGGTACGAAGGAGTTACTTATCTTTTACTGCTCCAATGCCAGTGAAAGATTAACATTTTATTTACCATTGATCTTTATTTACAGAGCCAAAATATCATACCCCAAGCTGATGATGTTTTTGGAGCAGGAAGTTACAGTCAGTAAGTATTTGCTTTTTTGTTATCAAAAAGTGGTTCTTTACATTTCATTAAAAGATGGCCCTCAAAGAGTAAAGTTCTCTATTGTTTGCATTGTCTAATGTCAAATTCCAAGCTAAAAATGTTTGTTAAAATGAAGGAAGACGGTATATGTGATCCCGCATCGGTTAGAGAGGAGAATGAATCATTCCTTATAAGGGTGTGGAAACCTCTCCTTAGTAGAAGCGTTTTAAAAACCATGAGGTTGACGGTGATATGTAATGGGCTTAAGTGGACAATATCTGCCAGCGGTGAGCTTGGGCTGTTATAAATGGTATTAGAGCCAGACACCGAATGGTGTGCTAGCAAGGATGTTGGGCCTCCAAGGAGGGTGGATTGTGAGATCCCACATTGGTTAGAGAGGAGAATGAAGCATTCTTATAAGGGTGTGGAAACCTCTCCCTAGTAGACACGTTCTAAAAACTGTGAGGCTGATGGCGATACGTAACGGGCCAAAGAAGACAATATCTGCTAGTGGTGGGTTTGGACTATTACAAATGGTATAAGAGCCAGACACCAAGTGGTGTGCCAGCGAGGATGCTGAGCCCCTATGGAGGGTGGATTGTGAGTTCCCACGTCGGTTAGAGAGGGGAACGAAGCATTCCATATAAGGGTGTGGAAACCTCTCCCTAGCAAACGCGTTTTAAAAACCGTGAGACTAACGATGATACGTAACGGACCAAAGCGGACAATATCTACTAGCGGTGGGCTTAGGCTGTTACAAATGGTATCAGAGCATGACACCGAGCGGTGTGCCAATGAGAACGTTGAGCCCCCAAGGAGGGTGGATAGTGAGATCCCACGTCGGTTAGAGAGGGGAACGAAGCATTTCTTAAAAGGGTGTGGAAACCTCTCCCTAGTAGACGCATTTTAAGAACCGTGAGGCTGATGGCGATACGTAATGGGCCGAAGAAGACAATATCTGCTAGGGTTTGGGCTATTACAAATGGTATAAGAGCCAGACACCGAGTGGTGTGCCAGCGAGGATGCTAGGCCCCTAAGGAGGGTAGATTGTGAGATCTCACATCGGTTAGAGAGGAGAACGAATCATTTCTTATAAGGGTGTGGAAACCTCTCCCTAACAGATGCGTTTTAAAAACCATGAGGCTGACGGCGATATGTAATGGGCCAAAGCAGACAATATTTGCTAGCGGTAGGTTTGGACTGTTACAAATGGTATCAGAGCCAGACACCGAGTGGTGTGCCAGCAAGAACGTTGGGCCCCTGAGGAGGGTGGATTGTGAGATCCCATATCGGTTAGAGAGGGGAACAAAGCATTCCTTATAAGGGTGTGGGAACCTCTTCCTAGCAGACGCCTTTTAACAACCATGAGGTTGACAACGATACGTAACGGGCCAAAACGGACAATATCTGCTAGGGGTGGGCTTGGGCTGTTACATATGGTGTCTCTATCTCTAAATACATCTTCTTTTTTGTTTCTTGTCTACGAACTCAATAGAGGTTCCTTTTCCTTACAAACAACCGTGTCGGTTTTACACGAGCAGGTGGCAAGATTTTTATAGATGCATGTTCTGGTTGGGAACTTTTGCTGGAAGTTTGATATTCCTCCATGCACTTTTCCTTTTCATTATGAAATGTCGAAAGAAAATATACAACACACAAGGCAATTATGGAGCACTTACCTTCCCTAGATTTGAGCTATTCCTTACATTTGTTGCTCTACCTTCCATGTCGATGGCCTCGGGCGCGCTATTTAGAGGTAACTTTTGAACGTTTCTTTGCTTTAGCAACCATGTTTGCTTTGATTTTCCCAAAAAGCCTCGTACCAATATAGATCTTATAAACCCATGAGGTCTATATAGCCCTTGAACATCCTCCCCGTAATCAAGGCTCGACTCCTTTCTTTGGAGTCCTCGAACAAAGTACACCCTTTGTTCGACACATGAGTCACTTTTGACTACACTTTCGAGGCTAGTAATTTCTTTGTTCGACACTTGAGGATTCTATTAACATGGCTAAATTAAGGACATGACTCTGATACCATGTTAGGAACCACGACTCTCCACAATGGTATGATATTGTCCACTTTGAGCATAAGCCCTTGTGGCTTTGCTTCAGACTTCCCAAAAGGCCTCATACCAATGGAGATAGTGTTCCTTACTTATAAACCCATAATCATCCTCCAAATTATTCCATGTGGGACTCCCTCCAAACAATCCTCAACAAAGGATTCTAACTTGTTTGGATCTCTATTATGGCTGTGCTAGGTGGAGCTCTAGCAGGACTAATAGTAGGAGTTTTGCTGCTCGGTGTTCTATCGCTTCTTTTACTCGCCTTACTGTTGTTTCTGTCGGTCGGAATCACGTTCGGGAAGCTACTTCAGTACAAAGAAGTTCATCAAGAAGGTCAGAAATTTCATTGGTATCAAGAACTTGTTCGTGTAACTCTTGGTCCTGGCAAGAGAAGTCAATGGACATGGAAGAACCAGCCAAGCTCTATTTACCTTATCATTTTTGGGCCAATGTTTGAAGATCTGAGAGGTCCTCCAAAGTACATGCTCTCTCAGATTTCCATGGCAAATCCCAACAAACGTGGCGATCGTATAATCGACTCCGACGACGAAACAGAAGATGCAGAAGCACCATTCATCCAAAAGCTATTCGGTATCCTTCGAATATACTACACGCTCCTCGAGTCGATCAAACGAGTCACTCTTGGAGTCATGGCTGGTGCTTACAAGGAAACAATCTCTTCCAAAACTCCAATTGTTACCTTATTATGCATCTCATCATTTCAGCTCTTTTTCCTTGTTCTTAAGAAGCCATTTATCAAGAAAAAAGTTCAGTTGGTCGAGATCCTTTCGATCGCTTGTGAAGTCGGGTTTTTCGCTATTTGTGCCGTTCTCTTAGACCGAGACTTCTCGATCATGGATCAAAAGAAACTTGGAATAACCATGCTGGTGCTGTTCCTTATAGGCTACTGTCCACAACTCATCAATGAATGGTATGCATTGTTCAAACAAGCTAAGCAGCTTGACTTTGTTGGGCACTCATTCTTCACAGGACTCAAAGTGGCTTGTGTTGGATTCCTACTCCTATTCTTCCCACAGAGATTCACTAAGAACTTGGAGAGTGTTTTTGCAGTGACGCTTAGCGGAGACTCCGAAACCGTCGATAATTCAACTGATAGGAACAAGTCTAGCAGTCGGAGCTCGAGTAACGAGAAACCGTGGCTGAAACAGCTTCGGAAGCTGGCTAAGGCTAGCTTCACTAAAGAGCAAGGTGGGACATCAACTGATCCTTCAGGAAGTGGTACTCAATGGAGTGGCCTTTGGGGGCGGAGGAGTAGGAGCAGGAGTAGCAGAAGCTCCTCCATAAGTTCATCTGATTTCAGGTCTAAATCCAGAGGTGGAGGAGGAGGAGGAGGGTTATACAGAGAGTTTGAAACCATTTTTTCATCCAAGTGAGACTAAAACATAAATGTTTTGGTATGATCTTGAAAGTTCATCCATTGTTAGTTCATCATTTGGGGTTCTAAGGTGTAATCCCATCTTGTTTGTGTATAAGAGTTTCAGACTTGTTCTCACTGTTATTTAATCATTCATTCACTATTATCTAATCATTCTCCACTTTGGTCCGTTACGTATTGTCGTCAGTCTCACAATTTAAAACGTGCCTACAATGGTGAGGATCTAGCCCTACTTCAACAAGTGTCTCGCACTGTTCGATGATTGACTCTGTACCATCTGTAACAACCCAAACCTCTAGAGAGGGTCTAGCCCTACTCCAACTAGTGTCTCGCACTGTCCAGTAACTGACTTTGATATCATTTGTAACCACCCAAACCTATAGAGAGGGTCTAGCCCTACTCCAACTAGTGTCTTGCACTGTCCATTGAGTGATTTTGATGTCATTTGTAACAACCCAAACCTATGGAGAGGGTCTAACCCTACTCCAACTACTAGTGCCTCACACTTTCTGGTGACTAAGTTTGATATCATTTGTAACAACCCAAACCTATGGAGAGGGTCTAACCCTACTCCAACTACTAGTGCCTCACACTTTCTGGTGACTAAGTTTGATATCATTTGTAACAACCCAAACCTATGGAGAGGGTCTAGCTCTACTCCAACTACTAGTGCCTCACACTGTCCGGTGACTAAGTTTGATATCATTTGTAACAACCCAAACCTATGGAGAGGGTCTAGTCCTACTCCAACTTGTGCCTCGTACTGTTAGGTGATTGACTCTAATATCATTTGTAACAACCTAAACATATGGAAAGAGTCTAACCCTACTCCAACTTGTGCCTCGTACTGTTCGATGATTGACTCTAATATCATTTGTAATAGCCCAAGCCTATGGAGAGGGTCTAGCCCTACAACTAATGTCTCGCACTGTCTGGTGACTGACTTTGACATCATTTGTAACAACCCAAACCTATGGAGAGGGTCTAGCCCTACTCCAACTAGTGTCTTGCATTGTCCGGTGATTGACTTTGATATCATTTGTAACAACCCAAACCTATGGAGAGGGTCTAGCCCTACTCCAACTTGTGCTTTGCACGGTTCGATGACTGACTCTAATATCATTTGTAACAACCTAAGCATATGGAGAGGGTCTAGCCCTACTCCAACTAATATCTCGCACTATCCGATGACTAACTCTGATACCATTTTGTAATAGCCCAAGCCTATGGATAGGGTCTAGCCCTACTTCAACCAGTACCTTACACTGTCTGGTGAGTGGCTTTGATATCATTTGTAATAGCCCAAGCCTATGGAGAGGGTCTAGCCCTACTCCAACCAATACCTCACACTGTCTGGTGAGTGGCTCTGACACCACTTGTAACAACCCAAGCCCAGTCTACTATGGAGAGGGACTAGCCCTACTTCAATCAGTGCCTCGCATGTTCAGTAATTGACTATACCATTTGTAACAGCTCAAGCTCACCGCAAGTAGATATTGTCCGCTTTAATCTGTTATGTATTGTCATCAATCCCACGGTTTTAATACATGTATGTTAGGGAGAAGTTTCCACACCCTAAGATATATTTCGCTCCCCTCTACAACCGATGTGAGATCTCACACATTTATCGATAAATAGAAGTTATCAACTAAAATGGAGCTCAACAATTAAACAATTAAGATGGTTGCAATATAGTTTTTAATTTAGTCCTTTTATTCTCTATATTTAAAGTTTTTACTCAATAAAACTGGGAATCTTATGCCTTTCGAGCCATTGACATTGATATAAGAAAATTCCAAGAGAATATATTAGTACGGTTTCTTTTTATCTTATTGTTCATCTCTACTTCCAAAATCATACCATTTCTTCAACCTCTCGCGTTTGATCAGATTCAGCGAGGTCATGGGGTCGTGGTTCAGCTCAAACAAATTCTGTAAAGAAGAGCAGAATCAGTCGCTTAACGAGGCCAAGAACATAATCTCCTCTAATCCCGTTGTTGTTTTCAGGTTCTTTCAATAATTTTTCAATATTCCCCTTCTAGGTTTTGATTTGATCTTCCTCGTATGAAGTTCTTATTGATTCTCGCCTCCATTTACTTTTTATCACTATGTTCGATCCTGTGGTAATCAATTACGTGCAAAATGTTCAATGGTTAACTCTTATTGTTAAGAAAATTGGCTCGATTGTTATCGATAGTGAAGATTGAAGAGTTCTTGAAGTTTTGGAAGTTTTGGAAGTTTGTTCTTGTTATGATTCAATAAATCTCTGTTTCGCATGGCAGCAAGACTTACTGTGGGTATTGCTCGAGAGTCAAGGAGTTGCTCACACAGCTTGGAGCTAGTCATAAGGTCATTGAATTGGACCAAAAAAGTAAGTTATAATTTGCGTCTGAGATTCTGCTATAATTTTCCATGCTTTTTCATCTATAAATGTTTGTTCTAGGGCGTTCTTTGATCATGACATGACCTTGTTTATCTTGAATTAGCTGAAAATTGTGATAGAATGATGCTATTTGCCTTCTGTTTCTTCTATAGTGACTGCATAACTGATTGTGACTTATGAACTCTTAGTTGACTGATGAGACTGAAAATTTAAAAGGAGAATTAATTGCAAGTAATACACTTAGTTGATCCTTTTATGGTGTTTTTGAGTTCATGTTGCTTGAAGTCAGCACCCTGTTTGTTCATTGGTTTGTGTAAAATAATTGTAAGAGATATTGTCCTGGATTTTTGCTGTCGGGCTTTCCCTCAAGGTTTTAAAACGCGTTTGTTAGAGAGAGGTTTTCATATCCTTACAAAAAATGTTTTGTTCTTCGTTATGCTCTCCAACTGATGTGGAATCTCATAATTCACCCCCCTTCGGGGCCAGCATCCTCGCTAACACTCGTTCCCCTCTTCGATCAATGTGGGATCTCACAGTCCACCCCCCTTCAAGGTCCAGCGTCCTCGTTGGCACTCGTTTCCCTCTCCAATCGATGTCGTTCCCCTCTCCAATCAATGTGAGATCTCACAATCCACCTTCCTCTGGGCCCAACGTCTTTGCTGACACTCGTTTTCCTCTTTATGATGTTGTTTCTCTCTCCAATCAATGTGGGATCTTACAATCCACCCTTCTTTGGAGCCCAGTGTTCTCGCTAGCATTCGTTCCTCTCTCATCGATGTAGGATCTCACATCAATCAATGTTGAGGTCAGATTTTAGATGAATCATTTCGCATAACAAAACATGAAGATGTCAAATTGAATGTTTCTCTGTTGAGACAAGCTGTGTGTTTGCCTAATTCTCGTGTTGCTACAATCTCGATCAGTACCATTTGAATATTGATGATTGTGTTGTATAATTACCTCAAAACAAGTTCTTTGAGCTGCCTGTGACTGTTCTTCAAACATTATATTGATGAATTCATCCATATGAAGGTGATGGAGATGCAATTCAATCAGCTTTAGCAGAATGGACGGGTCAAACCTCGGTGCCTAACGTGTTTATCGGAGGAAAACACATCGGTGGTTGCGATGGTAACACCTGCCGACTTCATTGCATAAATAGCTACCTTGTGGCTGCTTCTCCCAAATTTTGCTCATCCTCTATCTCCATTTGTGTCATTGCAGCGGTCACAAATAAGCACAGCAGTGGTCAGCTAGTGCCACTTCTTGCTGATGCTGGTGCCATCGCCAATAACTCTGCTCAGCTGTGAACTTTGCTTCACTGCTTCACTACGTAGCAATGAAGCAAATGTTTGTTGGTGTCTTCCAGATTTAATTTACAAAAACAGGTATAAATGTTCATGTTTTAGAGTCTGTGTTGAAAGATTGTCCATTGTGCTTTAAAAATGGTTTGAAAGTGTAGTAGGGTTGGGATCAAGTCAGGATAGGGTAGGGTCGGGACCCTTTATGTGTGAGATAGGGTCGGGATCGGGGATGGAGAATGTAATCCCCGTCCCTGGCGCTGTGTAGCTAACAAGGAGAAATCTTTCTCCACTCCCTTCTTGTTCCCATGTTTAAGCGAGATTCCTAGGAACGGGATTCCTAGAGGTGGGTTCCCGCAGGTTAAATAAACATATCTAATTAAAACTTTGAATTTATAATTGTATCAGTTTACATCCTTCGTTAGATTCTGTTCAAAAAAACGTTAGTGTACACGTGTACAGATTCACTCAAGTTTTCGCACCAAAAACAATCCAAAAGCTTGTGATATTCTACTCCTAATGCATTAAATCTATAAAATTGCTCAAAATTTATGAACTAATTCCAATTTCCTTGGAGCAGCTCCAAAACACAACCAATCTCCCACTTCATAATTGGCTCCTCTTTGTCTACTCTAACATCACCATCAAGCTTCCTACAATTATATTTACAAATAAATCATCATTATACAAATCATCATATATATACATACATATGTATATATGTATATACACATACATATGTATATATACACATGTATGTATGTATATACACATATATGTATGTATACACACATATATGTATGTATACACACATATATGTATGTATACACACATATATGTATGTATACACACATATATGTATGTATACACATGTATGTATGTATACACATGTATGTATGTATGTATTGAACCATATATTTACCTGCTAATATGGCTTTGATTAGTGTCCATGATGTCATCCTTGTCGATAATGAGGGCATAACTGCAAATTACACGAATTATGCAACGTAAATATAATTTGATATAATTAAAATAATTTGGGTACTGGTTAAATTAAGTAGGTTAAAAAACGAAGCAAGAACGAGAAAAAACTATATTTTAGGTGCAAAATTTTAAAATTTTGCATTTAATTTTGCAAAGAACACTCGAACAAATCATATTCATCGAGGAGAATTATAATTCACAGTTTTACCCGTAGTTATAAAATTTAAATTTAATATAATTGATCAATTAATTTAAAAAATAACGTTTTAAAGAATTTATTAAATATAAAATTTATTAAACACGAAATATATATATTATATGTATATTACGAAATTGCCCCTGACATACCAAAATCACAAGTGGAGGAAGAATTGGAACTACCACACATGCACAGCTGTCTAACACCATCCGTACCAAACCCACACGTGCCGCCAGTGGCTTGGCACGCGCGGCAAAAGTCTTCGTTTGCTTGGACTGAATATTTCACACGAATCCCATAGGCCCATTGATCAGGCCCATTAAGCCTCAACGGGGCCAAGTTATAAGCACTGCTATAGCCTTCACACTGAAGCTTAGTGAGATTTACGGCCTTAATGGACCCAAAAGGAACCGCACAGCACTCTGGTGGGCCGGGCCCATAATTTCGGCCCGGTCGTCTGTGGCCCAATATACCCCAAGCCGGACAGTCATAATACTCCTCACAGCCCAGTCCGGAAACGTTTCTACAGACTAGGTGCTTGTTCGGGAACCCTTGGAAGAGTGGCGATTGGGCGGAGCAACCGATGAGGAGGAACGCGTTATCGGCCGTCGGATTCAGGTACGGCGATCGCCATTCCTCGATGTCGAAGCCGTTGCCGCGGCGGCCGAGGACGATTGTGTCGCAGTTCGACATGTGAGGGTCGTGGAGAGTTAGGGCTTCGTAAGCGTAATCGATGTCTAGGACTCTGTAGGATCCGGATCGGATGTGGAACATTAAAACGTCGTTCATGCAGTAGAGAAGGTCGCGGTAGCCAGGATGGCCGCAGCCGTACTGGAGAGCGAAGGGATAGTCGATTGTGATGTTGCCGCAGAAGGATCGGCAACTGTTGGAGTGGATGTTGGCGGTGGAAATGGATAGGAGAAAAGATGAGAGGACGAGATAGAGGAAGAGCGGAATGACTAGAGTTGTTGTGGACATTGTTGAAGGAGATGGAAAGGGAGTGAGAGAGAATCGAGTTTGAAGGAAGAGAGATTTGGTTTGGGGGAATCGATACTTTGCTTGAGACATTGAAGAATGATTAGGGAAACTTTATTCAGATGTGTGATAATGAAGAATTTGGATTGAATTTGCGACTTTGAATCATTTTTCTTCTTTCTTCTGCTTTTCCTGAGGTGATGATTTGGTTTTCAGTTTGTTTCTTGATTGCTTTCGTTTCCTTTTTCTGTAATCTCATCGGCAGATTTTTGAAAACAGAGTTTTCGATGAACATTGAAGAATCAATACACTTTTTAGTTGGAACATGATTTTGTTGATAGTTTCACTATGAATTAACACTGAGTTTCTGATTTCTTTCCGTATATATTTTGTGCATTTTACACTCTCTTCCTTGTGTATACATCTTGGTGGTCGATTTGCCTTGCATGGTAATGGTAGAACATCATAAGTTGGGGTAGTCAAGTTTGATCTATGTAGTTTTGACATGATATTGATTGGAACCATTGGAGTCACCGCAACCTTAAAATTTCATAGATAAATTGGGATGAGTTAGAATTTATCCAAAATTGGCTCGACCCGATTAGAATTTATCCAAAATTGGCTCGACCCGATTAGAATTTATCCAAAATTGGCTCGACCCGATTAGAATTTATCCAAAATTGGCTCGACCCGATTAGAATTTATCCAAAATTGGCTCGACCCGATTAGAATTTATCCAAAATTGGCTCGACCCGATTAGAATTTATCCAAAATTGGCTCGACCCGATTAGAATTTATCCAAAATTGGCTCGACCCGATTAGAATTTATCCAAAATTGGCTCGACCCGATTAGAATTTATCCAAAATTGGCTCGACCCGATTAGAATTTATCCAAAATTGGCTCGACCCGATTAGAATTTATCCAAAATTGGCTCGACCCGATTAGAATTTATCCAAAATTGGCTCGACCCGATTAGAATTTATCCAAAATTGGCTCGACCCGATTAGAATTTATCCAAAATTGGCTCGACCCGATTAGAATTTATCCAAAATTGGCTCGACCCGATTAGAATTTATCCAAAATTGGCTCGACCCGATTAGAATTTATCCAAAATTGGCTCGACCCGATTAGAATTTATCCAAAATTGGCTCGACCCGATTAGAATTTATCCAAAATTGGCTCGACCCGATTAGAATTTATCCAAAATTGGCTCGACCCGATTAGAATTTATCCAAAATTGGCTCGACCCGATTAGAATTTATCCAAAATTGTCTCGACCCAATCTTTTCCACGAACATTTTGAAAACTTCATGTCTATGATGGTTGAAGAGAATTGGTTCTAAGAAATGGTTCAACTCGACCTAACCCACTAACATTCTTAGAACTTTATGTCTAGAATTGGTTCTAAGAAAAATGGTTCGACCATCTAATTCATGGGGACTAAACTTTAACCTGTTTTTATGCCTCCCCTCTTTAATAGTAAATATTTTACGAGAATTTATAGCGTTCTTTTGAAAATTATTTAGTTATTAAAAATCAAATTTACAAACAATACTTTTATGAGTAAAAGGGTTTTAAAATCATGTCATATTTAAAAACTAAAATTACAAAAAAAAAAACTTATTTATTATAAGGAATAATTTTAAAACTAATGAAAATTTGAGACTTCAATTAAAAATCTATTTTTTAAAATTTAATTTAATAAAAATTATTTATTTTTCTAATTAAAAAGAAAATTACTAAAATAGGGCGCGTTACAATGAAGCTTCGATTAACAGAGCGACTCAGCTGAAGCCATCTCCGCCTCTTCATCTTCATCGTTCAAAGTTCAGCAGCACCTAGCTTGGCTGTTCACTTCTGAATCTTACTTGAGGTACTGTTTCTTTATATTGACGGACGGCGAAAGGATGATCTCGCCGTGATCGATGATTTCCTGGCCTTCGGTATTGTAGCGTTACCATTTGATTTAAGTTTATAGTTTGAGATCTATTTGACGATGGAAGCCACTGAGAAATCCGAAGAAACCGTCTCAAATGTAAGAATTTCTCTCTTGGAACTAACATTTCTTGCTATTTCACAATTTTATCATCTGAAAGGCGTCTCTCGGTTATTGAATTAGGTTTCTCTTTGTAATTATTTCAATTCAAATTCTTTGTTAGATTTAGAATGAATTTTCGTTTGTTTATGATTCACTGGGTCTAGAAATGGCTTTTATGATTTCTCACTTGATCAATGTACTGTATACCTAAAGGTCTCTTCTAATTGTCCATTTAAAGCAGGTTACTAAAAAATTGCCTGGAACTGTGAATTGGGGGACGGCCACAACTATTGCAGTGTTTGCAGGGATGTTTTATGGAGGAAGCAAAGAAGCAGCAGCTTCGGTGGTAAGTTAATTTTCTTGGGGGACAGAAATCCCCAATGTTCTATTGTAATTGTATTTTAGGGCTTGCAGAAATTTTTATGTGTTTTTCTTGCTGCTGGATGCTTGGAGGTTGTGATGAAATGATACGACAGTGAGATAAGATAGTATAAGATCCCTCGTTGATTGGAGAAGGGAATGAAACATTTTTTATAAGGATGTGGAAACATAGAAGGGAACGAAACATTCTTGATAAGAGTGTGGAAACCACTCCATAGCAGACGCATTTTAAAATCCTTGAGGGAAAGCTTGGAAGGAAAAGCCCAAAGAGGATAATATCTGCTAGCGGTGAACTTGGGCTGTTACAAATGATATCAAAGCCAAACACCAAGCGATGTGCTAGCAAGGACGCTGGCCCCAAAGGGGGTGGATTGTGAGATCCCACATCAATTGGAGAGAGGAACGAGAGCCAACGAGATGTTGGGCTCCGAAGGGGGTGGACTATGAGATCCCACATCAATTGGAGTGAGGAACAAGTGTCAGCGAGGACGCTAGGCCCCAAAAGTAGTGGATTGTGAGATCTCACATTGGTTGGAGAGAGGAACAAAACATTTAAGGGTGTGGAAACCTCTTCCTAGCAGACACGTTTTAAAAACTTTGAGGGTAAGCCCAGAAGGGAAAACCCAAAGAAGCACAATATCTGCTAGCGGTGGGCTTGGGCTGTTACATATACTCTCAACCAAGAAGTCAGAGATTTGAATTCTGCTTTGTCCTCGTGTTGTCATTCTACTGTCTTTTTCTGTTTACTTCTAAATCCAAGGCTGTACAATAAAGAGGGAATGGAAAAAGAGGGGGGGATGCAGAAATGCCATTTTCTCCTCATATATATTCAGTATCCTTTGCAATTTTCCTTTCTGAAATGACTCATATATTCAAATCAAAATTTTCAAACTGGATGAAATTTAAGAGGGAAGTATGACAATTAACAGAGCAAGGATGCAGAAGTAACATTGAAGCTTGGGAGCACACCTGATAAGCGAGAACAATATAGATTAATCAGAGATGCAATGGAGAAAAGATTTATCAGAGTAACACGAGGCTCAATAGTTGGTGGTGTGCGTCTCGGGATGTTTACAGCTGCATTTTACGGTCTACAAAATCTGCTAGCCGAGAAGCGTGGCGTGCATGATGTTTTCAATGTCGCTGCTGCTGGTTCTGCCACAGCTGCTACATTTGGTCTAATATGTAAGCAGCAGCAGCTATTCCTTGGGTCCAATTCCATCGAGTTATGCCTTGTCCTAGTTTTATCAATTCTTACTTCAAAGCTTGGAGCATCTTAAATGTTTGAAGATATGAACAGAGCTGTTTAAATTACTTAAACAATGCATGTTTTCCTGAGCTTATTTTGCTATATGGCTTACTTTGCAGTGCCGGGATCGCTCAAGTGGCGCGCTAGGAACGTAGCGATGGGAGCTGTTCTTGGTGCAGCATTTTGCTTCCCTCTTGGTAATAGTTATATGTTGAATGTGGTGTTTTATTGCTTGGTTATAGGAATCCTTTTCCACGTGAAAATTCCCTGAATTCTTGAACTTTTTGAGTATAATAAAAGAAACCAAAAGTGGTGGGTGAGCTTGTTAGAAAGCGTTGGTGGCTGTTGCTAAAGAGACATTTTGATCACAGGTTGGCTTCATTTAAAGCTTGTAGAGAAAGCAAATGAAGGCAATGAAGCACTGGCTTATCCTAGTGCAATTCAAAAGGGAGAATCAAAGAGTGGCGTCGGTGCTGCTATTGAGAGATTAGAAGAAAGCTTGAACAAATAGATTCAATGACATCTCCCAAGCTTCTTTCTACCATATTTGCTGGATTTTGTGGTGGTTTTGACGACAATAAACTGCCCATTCTTGGGGACTAACAAGTTAGGGGAAGAAAATATGTTTCTACTCAATTGTTTCATCTTGTTTCTTTAGTAATTAGCCTACTCATTCACCTTTTAGAGGGCATTGCTCGAATGGTCGAACGGTCGAAACCCCCGGAGCTCTATACGTTCGAAGATTTGTCTTATGAACCAATTGTTGGTTGATTCTATCTTCCAACATTTCCTATTCAATTTTGTTTAAACATTGAGTTGATCCTTCAAGTATATTGATGTGGGAGATGAAACCAAATGGATTGGAATATTGAGTAATAATCCTTCATGAGCTTTAATCATTTGACTTGCTTTTTAGAGTTGCATAGTGTCAATCCAATAATGGATTGTGCAAGATCTATGTCATGAGTAAATTTTGATATCCACCGCAAGGAATAATTAGATACAATCCTCAGTAACTTGAAAAAAATGGGACCTAGAATAAACAATTGATCTCGATTAATAGACCCGCTAAAGGTTCAAGCCATATAGTACTTACTATCGGTGTCACGGAGAGATGTTTTGATGGAAATAACAACGCATTCGAGAATAAACAATTGATCTCGATGAATAGACCCGCTAAAGTTTCAAGTCATATAGTACTTACCTACCATCGGTGCCACGGAGAGATATGTTTTTATGGGAATAACAACGCATCCGAGAATAAACAATTGATCTCGATTAATAGACCCGCTAAAGTTCCAAGCCATATAGTACTTACTATCGGTGCCACGGAGAGATATGTTTTTATGGGAATAACAACGCATTCGAGAATAAACAATTGATCTCGATGAATAGACCCGCTAAAGTTTCAAGTCATATAGTACTTACCTACCATCGGTGCCACGGAGAGATATGTTTTTATGGGAATAACAACGCATCCGAGAATAAACAATTGATCTCGATTAATAGACCCGCTAAAGTTCCAAGCCATATAGTACTTACTATCGGTGCCACGGAGAGATATGTTTTTATGGGAATAACAACGCATTCGAGAATAAACAATTGATCTCGATGAATAGACCCGCTAAAGTTCCAAGCCATATAGTACTTACCATCGGTGCCACGGAGAGATATGTTTTTATGGGAATAACAACGCATTCGAGAATAAACAATTGATCTCGATGAATAGACCCGCTAAAGTTTCAAGCCACATAGTACTTACCATCGGTGCCACGAAGAGAGATGTTTTTATGGGAAAAACAACGCATCCGAGAATAAACAATTGATCTCGATTAATAGACCCGCTAAAGTTCCAAGCCATATAGTACTTACTATCGGTACCACGGAGAGATATGTTTTTATGGGAATAACAACGCATTCGAGAATAAACAATTGATCTCGATGAATAGACCCGCTAAAGTTTCAAGTCATATAGTACTTACCTACCATCGGTGCCACGGAGAGATATGTTTTTATGGGAATAACAACGCATCCGAGAATAAACAATTGATCTCGATTAATAGACCCGCTAAAGTTCCAAGCCATATAGTACTTACTATCGGTGCCACGGAGAGATATGTTTTTATGGGAATAACAACGCATTCGAGAATAAACAATTGATCTCGATGAATAGACCCGCTAAAGTTCCAAGCCATATAGTACTTACCATCGGTGCCACGGAGAGATATGTTTTTATGGGAATAACAACGCATTTGAGAATAAACAATTGATCTCGATGAACAGACCCGCTAAAGTTCCAAGCCATATAGTACTTACCATCGGTGCCACGGAGAGATATGTTGTTATGGGAATAACAACGCATTTGAGAATAAACAATTGATCTCGATTAATAGACCCACTAAAGTCCCAAATCACATAGTACTTACTACCGATGCTACAGAGAGATGTTTTTAGATCTCGATAGGTTTTGATTATGGGTTTCTAAGGTGGGAAAAGCAGAGACAGTGATGGATCCAAACTTTTCCTTACAACTAGCATTTGTAAATTCCAAAGTAAAAGGATGTTCATATTCTCGCACCCTTTTGGGTCTCCTCACTGGCATCCAATGCAAAGAATCTAATCTATCAATTTCGATGTTGGCAAGGCAGGAATTCAATCCCATGTAGGGAAAAGAGAAAGGGCAAATGAATAGAAAGGATGGATATGGTGGTGGGCACAGATAGAGAACAAAGCTGAGCTCTCTTTATATTCTATACCAAATTGAAAATGTTCCTTCCTGTGGGTTACATACATATAATAAGTTATATCTAATTGCCTAAGAAAACCTTGAATCTTTTGCTCCTTTTTTTTTCCTATCAAGATTTGCATTAACTCATGTACATCAAACACTTTTCCCTTTTGATCAATTGTATTAAGTCTGTTTTTTTTTTGACATTTATGCTTGTTGTTTGTTCTCCTTCGGAGAATTTTAACGATATCTTTCAGGTCTTTCTCGACTACCTCGTACATTGATAGGATAGCGGGCACCGTTTCGAAAATACATGGTGTTTCAGTCTCATGATCAGTATGAAGATGCCATAGCAAGGAATGTGCATTAGAGCCACGGACAAGTACCTTCACGTTTATTGAAATCATAAGGTGATTAGTTAACTACCACGAGTTCATACGCATAATGGAAGCATTTTTTAAAATGTAGAACAGGGTCACAAGAAAACTCTGATAGACTTACCAAAGTGGGGCAAATGAAGATGAGAGATCTAGAAATGGATATGGCCACCTGTTTTGTAGGGAGAAACCATTGTTGTATCAACATGAATATGAACAAATTGGAAAGAAAATAAGAGAGAGGCCAGTGATTTTACCATAGTCTCACACAAGCATGAACGATCCATTGAAAAATTACATAAATGACTGTCCAGAGGAAGAAATATCCGATCCGAAACCAGGGGAATCGCTGAAAAGTTGTAACAGATAAGAACTGAGCTATGATATAACAAGAAAAAAGAAGCAAAATGAAGTTATTTTCATTACTTACCAAAGAATTCAAAGCGGTGTCTCCTAGCAAGAAAACGGCATTGATTGTATGCATGTTTATTATCAACTGTCACAAGAAAGGAACATATTTGCTATTTAGAACAATGAAGTTGAGTGTGTTCGAAGGCAATTACAAGCCACATGGAAACCTTCTTAGAATCATTTTGAAATCACAAGTAAAATTGAGCTCCCAAGCAGTTTACAAATTTTATAAACTCAATTTGCAGCCGTTAAGCACTTACAAAATTAAGGTTGTAATCTTTGATAGTGAGAAATGGAACAATTATGAACCAAAAGACGCAATCTGTCAGCATAACAGCACCTGCATTCATCTTTCAAGAACAACAGATAACCAAAAGGTCAGAAGATTAATGAAAGGGAACCTTTTTTTCTTTTTTTTTTTTTCCTTAATTTTTCAAAACCTACAATATAAAGAAACTCAATGCACCAACCTGGAAGATAATCTGAAAGAGATAACCCCAAAATCCGGCAGGTTGACGCCTGAGATGATGTTCATCACGAAGGGATGGATTTTTCTCTGTATTTGAACCGTTTCCACCTGCAGAAGTGCCTTGTTCTGCATCTCCCTCCACATTATCCACCTTCTCACCGCCAACTTTCTTCTGATATTGGTAGCAGCCATTAATGGATAGCAGTGATCCAAGCTAAGAACAGAACATCGGAAATTCATAAGCAAATGACCAATGAAAAGGGAGAGATAAAGATAGAGAGGAAAATATGTTGAGAAAAGGGCTCTTTGAAAATGATGGGACATACCCCAAAATAAATGGTGATTGAAGTAAAAGTCCACCTGTTTCAAACAACACAACCAAAACTTTGAATCTCTTCTTTGAGCTTATAAAATGTTGGAAATTTCACACAAAATTTTCCCATTTCTCTTGAAAACTTACTGAGTATAGAAGTAAAATATGTCGCCTCCATCAACAATAGCAGTGACAATGAGGAGCACCAAGAGCACACAGAAAGCCAATACTCGAAAGGCCAACAACCAAGCAGGATGTATTCCCTTAAAACAGGGCCGCCATGTTTCATCATCATACAAAGCTCCAGCTTCTTCTTCCTGAGTTTCTTCTCCATCATATGCCTTATTCCTACGGCCCTCATATTTCCATATCAAGAACAATGCAAAACTCAGCGTCACCAGAACCCATATAATGCAAAGCAGGACCCTCCAGTTGAGCCAGTAACTGGAAGTTGTTGTGTCGTCTGTCATGATCGGTTGCCAAGATTTTGTGGGGGATCCTGTTAAGAAACTCATTTTGTCACCAGGGTGAGAAAAATGGAGCTTTTTTGGTCAAGGGGATAAGCTAAATGTGGGTTTAGAGAAGGAAAGTGATTTTCCTTGAGGATGAAGAATACAAAACGCTAGAACAAACTGAAATTTCCCTCTTCAATTAAGAGGTTATGTTGGGTAAGAAAGAATCACTTAATTGAAACCCCTGATGTTTCCAGCTAATTGAGAAAAGGGGAAAGAATATTGAGGATGGACAGAAGAGAAATAAAAAGAATTGACAGTGACCACTTATTTTCAGGGACTCTGAGAACCAAAAGACAAAAAAAATGACAGGATTGAAGGCGACTGGGAAACCCAAAAGAAAGAATGGCTGTTGAAAACCAGAAACAAGATGATCAAAATCAAAACTCCCACTATCCAGAGCAGAAAACCCAAATAAAAGAATATCTTGTTAACAAAGAACAAGATGAAACAACATTTATTTTAAGAAAAAATCAGAAACTTTCTGGAGAACCCAGGTAGAAGAAAGCTGAGCAGACACATCATCACAATCCAAAAATGCAAAGCAGAGCCAAAGCCGGCATGTTTAAGGAAGAATCTTATGCATAAAATAATGAAAATACGCAGAAGAAGCTTGAGATGGATAAGAAACTAAAAGCAAGAACAACCCATTTCCCATTTGACCAATGAAACATCCGAAATGGGGGAAGACAGATTCGAAACTTCAGATAAGTTTTAGGAAAGAAATATGAAAACCGAGTAACCGACATTCACAAACAATATATACTGTTAGGAATGAACAGGAGAAGCAGCTAAATTCTAAGCGAAGAAAAGAGTTTATACTTACAATGGAGAGGAAGAAAGCGGGGAAGGAGGGAGATGCTTTCCTTCTTCGGCTTGGAAGACGAATTAAATAAAGCAAAGAACAGAGAAAGAGAGAGAGAAGAAAAGGCCTGTGGAGCTTTGAGTGTAAGCTTCTCTTTTTGCCTATTACATCAACTACAGAATCCTCTGCAAAATCCCAAACTCTCCCCATATTTCCATGCAAATTTTGTTTTGTTTTGTTTTTTTTTTTTTTAATTTTCCAAGGCGCAAGGGAATTTGTGTTCCCTTTGCTTGGTTTTCATTTTCAAAATGGGTCAATGAAGAGAGAATAATTGTGCTGGAGTGCATAAGCATATAAATATAATGGACAATTTATGGCAATTAAATCTCACATCTTCATTAACCATTCTAAATTTAAAATTTATTAAAACTCCAAATTAAACAATAAATAAACAAGAAAAAGGAGAAATTTATTAGGACTCCATTTTGTATTTTGATTTTTCTTTTTCATTTTGGTCTTTATATTTAAAAAAAAAAAAAAAACACAAATTTAGCACTTCTTTTATAACAATATCATTTTCACTTTTCTATTTTCAAGAATTGTATTTATTTTCTCACAATTACTTACCTTTGATTTTTAAACCATTTATAAAAATTAGATAATAAAATAAATAAATTTAGCTACAAATGGAAGTCCTATTTTAAACTTCATTTTCTAAAATAAAAAATCAGATGATTATCAAAAATTTGAATATTCCGTTTTTTCTTTTTCTTTCTTTTTCTTTCTTTCTTTCTTTCTTTCTTTTTTTTTTTTTTGAACTAAAGACTAAATCAATATATTTATATAAATACTTAAACTAAAACAAAAGAATATAATTAAATACACATAACAAACAACGCACACTTTATACAATTATGAATTTATTATAGCTTATAAAATCTAATAAATAATAACAATAATAATAACATATGATTGTGAGGGATTTTATGGAGCAAAGCAGGGGAATTGAAAAGGTAAGGGAATGATTTGGTTATTGAAGCACCATAATTGGAAGTGGGACCAAAGTTTTTGACCAGTGATTTTCAGCCGTCTGATATTGAGCAATCCATGATCAATTTTAAGGTCAAAATCGTCATGTAAGCTTTATGAGAAGGCATAATAAGATTGCTGTGTTTTACATAGGTGTAGGGGTGGGACCCTAACACGTGACATATGTCCTTCTTACATTGGGACCCTTTTCCCTTGTGGCAAAAAAAAAAAAAAAAAAAAAAAAAAAAAAAAAAAAAAAAAAAAAAAAAAAAAAAAAAAAAA